GTGAACAGGAACGCTATAGTTAATAGAAATTTAATTGATAACCTGACAGAATCATTAAATTGCTTTTAAAATGCAGAAGGCAGATGATAAAATTGCACTTAATTCTGAAGCAATTCAGATCTGTCCCACCACTCTTACACCGTCCTAATAAAATGAGCATTTACAGCATGGCTGCTCACCGCCCCTTACACAAGGCTCAGCAAACCACGGCTACATTCTGGTTGGTTTTTAACATTTGGTCAGAACTGATGAACAGGGTCAAACAGTTTGGCACTGTCGAATCTGCTGATCCGCATCCGACTGTTTTCTGCCAGAATCAGACAGCTGCAACACAGGATTTACAAGTCCGGAACTGCCATTGTCATCCGTTTCGGCCCTGACAAGTCATTCTCCCACTCCAGCCCACTGGAGTCGACGGAGGCAGATGTGGGGTTACTTCCGGCCTTACTGCTGCTGGACTTCAGCGTTCTCGCATCGCAAGCATTCCGTTCATCCCTTCCTCATCGTCCCACTCCAGGTCTGAGGATGTGTCGTCGTCATTTCCACTGGTGGATCTCATTTTGGTCATTGAGTCACGGCTGCTTTCTGTATTTGGTGGCCTCTGAGGAGTCTACTACTTCGAAAACTTCATACTGGGATTTTACATTTCTCATACAAGATTCAAAGTGGTCTTCTGGTCCTGAACTCTGACATCGCTGGAGGGATGACTCTGCCTTCCTTGCTCCGTGAGCTTTTGCTGCCTTGCTGCCCTGGCTGCTTCACTCTGTGCAGCGTCTAAAGCTTCTTCTAGTCTTAACTTCTCTTCTTGTAAGTCTTGTAAGGCTCCTTCTGGATTTTCTTATCAAGATCTTTCTGTTTTTCAGCAATAGAACCATAATGCCTCTCTCGTAGGCCAGTAATTTCTTCCTGTTAGAGGCCTATGACTGCTTCCTGGGCTCTCTCCTTCATCACTTTCTACTAGATTCTCAAACTCTTGTCATCAACTGCCCACCCCTAGGGCAGGTTGGAAAGTACTTAGATCTTCGCCGCCTGTGCGCTGTAGCCTCCGCTTCCCCACGGAACAGCCCGCAGCACTGCATACAGCAGCAGTTCGCCTCTCCTCAGCCAGATGCCACCGCCTCCGCTCGGAGCCCAAGGAGCCCAAGGCGGCGCTACTCCAGCGGCGGGCCACCGCCTCGCCAGGCCGCCGTGCTGGGGCTCAGTCGCCCTCTGCATAGCCCTCCCGCGCCAGCCTGTCCCGAGCGAGTGACCGCCTCCAGGCTCCGGAGGAGGCCCGGCCCACGCATCCTCGCCCAGGCCCGCCTTCCCACCTAGGATCTCATCTTTTTTTTTTTTTTTGGTTTTTTCAGACAGGGTCTCACCATATAGTTGAGACTGACCTGAAACTCACAATGTAGCCCAGGCTGGTCTCGAACTCACAGCGATCCTCCTGCCTCAGCCTCCCGAGTGTTGGGATTACAGGTATGTGCCACCAAGCCCCGCTAGGATCTCATCTTTTTAAAAAATTTCTGCACTGCCAGAAAAATCACAAGCGCAGGAGCTGGGGATTTAGCTCATTTTCACTGCCTGCCTCACAAGTGCAAGGTCTGGAGTTGGATCCCTGGCATTCCCAGTACCAAAAACAAAAATAAAAACAAAACAAAACAACAAAACAAAATAAAACAAAACAACAACAACCACAACAAAAGGAAATCACAAGCAGAGCTAAGAGATAACGCACAATGTGGGAAAATTTTTTACCAGCTGTTTCTCCGACAAAGGTCTATTATCTAGAATATATAAAGAACTGAAAAAAATCAGATCCCCCAAATATAAAGACCTGATTCAAAAATGGGCATCTGAAATGAACAGACGTTTCTCAGACAAACAAGTAAAAGCAGAAAATAAACATATGAAAAAAATGTTCAAAAATCACTGGTCATGAGAGAGATGCGGATGAAAACAACACTGAGATTCCATCTCACCCCAGTAAGAAATCAATCAATAACAAAGCTAGTGGGGCTGTGGGGAGATAGGACCCTTCTTCACCATTGGTGGGAGTGCAGACTGGTGTAACCACTGTGGAAATTCATATGGAGGTACCTCAGAGAACTAGGATTAGAGGTCCCATTTGACCCAGCTACTCCTCTGCTGGGTATTTTCCCAAAAGAATTAAGAGAATCATACCACAGTGATATTGCTCACCCATATTTATAGTGGCACAGTTTGTAATAGCTAAAATTTGGAAACAGCCCAATTACCTATCAACTGGAAACTAGATAAAGAAGATGTGGGTTTTTTAAAAATAAAAGGGAGTACTACTCAGCCATAAAGAACAAGAAAGTAGAGAGATTTATAGCTAAGTGAATGCACATTGAGATCATACTCAAATAAAATTAATAAGTCACGCACATGTGAATACTGAATAGTTTCTCTGGTGTGAAAAAGAAAAAGTGTAAATAAGGATCAAAATGTATAATTGATACTGTATATTTGTATAATTGAAGAAAAGTCTATAAGAGGAGAGGGGGTCCGGGGATTTGGCTCAGTGGTTCTGCTGCCTGCCTCGCAAGTGCAAGGGCCTGAGCTTGATCCCCAGTAAAAAAAAAAAAAAAAAAAAAAAAAAAAAAGAACAGGGTGTGCATTATAGTGAGACTTACCTAAAAATATTAAAAATGTAGGGCTGAGAGTAGAGCTCAGTGGTAGAGTACTATTTGTTTGGTTTCTTTGATTTTATCTCCAGCACTGCAGATAAATACATTTAAAATAAAAATAAAGTAACCAAAGGATCAAATCCACTTCTGAGTAACCCAAAAGAACTGAAAGGAGTATCTCAAACCAGTTTCAGTTCCCCCTTGATCGTGGCAGCATTATTCGTTAGAGCCAAAAGGTAAAAGCACACTATGGGTCTCATCAGGGTCTACATGGATCAAAATGACACACGCAGGGGCTGGAGATTTAGCTTAGTTGTGCTGCTGCCTGCCTCACAAGTGCAGGGTCCTGAGTTCAATCCCTGGTACTACAAAACAAAACAAACAAAAATGTTAAAAAAAAAGATACACTACCTTAAAAAACTAGGTTTACGGCTGGGGATTTAGCTCAAAAAAAAAAAAAAAGAAAGAAAAAGAAAAAAACTAGGATTACAGGTCCCATTTGACTCAGCTTTCCATCTTTTGGGTATATTTCCAAAAGAATAAAAGAATTATACCACAGAGACATTTGCACACCCATGTTTATAGCAGCACAGTGTGTAATAGATAAATCTTGGAAAAAATCCAATTGCCCATGAACTGGAGACTGGATAAAGTAGATGTGGTTTTTCTATAAAATGGAGTACTACTCAGCCATAAAGAATAAGGAACTAGAGTCATTTATAGGTAAATGGATCCATACTGAGGCCATATTCTTAAGTGAAATAAATTGGACACACATGTGCAAACATTGAATAGTTTCTGTGGTATTAGAAACTGTAAGTGTTGGGGCCAGGGATTTAGCTTAGCAGTTCTGCCACCTGCCTCAAAAGCGCAAGGACCCGTGTTGGATCCTTGGTACTGAAAACAACAACAAACAACAACAAGAACAACAACAAACAAATCTGTAAGTGTAAATAAGGTTCAAATTATATAATTGATAATGTGAACTAGGAAGAAAAGGGCTAAAGGAGTAGGGGAAGTGGGAAGGGTAGGGGAAAGGAAAGAAGGGAAAAGAAAAATATGAGAAAAGGAAAAAATGGAAAGAAAATCTTTGTAAATAGGGAAGGGTGGAGCGGGTAAAGGGCGGGCAGGGGAATAATAAGAACCCAGATACATCATATAAAGGTACAAGATCCTAATGACAAATGTAGCTGTACTGGATACCTAAAAAATATCAATAAACTTAATGAGAAAAAAAGATACATGTAGAATACTCAGTTTTAGTATATGTGCTGTGGAAGCAAGCACCAGAATATTCAGTTTTAAAAAGTAATACTGCGTATTTTGTCAGGCCTGGTGGTGCACATCCATGGTTTGGAAGTTGGAGGCCACCTGGGGAATTTAGGGAGACAACCATGTCAAATAAATAATAAAAAGGGTTAGAGGGGCCAGGGATTTAGCTGAGTGGTTCCACCACTTGCTTCGCAAATGCAAGGATCTGAGTTTGATTCCTGGCACCAAAAAAAAAGAGATGTAGCGCAGTGGTGGAGCACGTGCACAGCATGGTACCACCCACTGAAGAAAGGAAGGAAAAAAAAAAGGTATGTATTCTGACCCTCAAGATAACATGGTGAAGTGTCAAAGTAGCAAGGGAAATCAGACAGTCAGAAAAGAGGAAATGCTGTGTTCTTGTGCTTCTAGGAGCTCCCATAGTCACATTTCCTGTCAGAGAGTGGCATGGTGGCACAGGAGGTTAGGGGAGTGAAATGAAAAAACAAAAGACAAAGCAGATACTAACAATCTCAAAGCTTGACAGAGACTGACGGTCTCAGGACTTGCCCCTCTGCTAAATCCATGAAGGTCCCTGTGCCTGAAAGATGAACTGCTGAACCAACACCTCGCTGTACCTCCCTACGTCTTAAAGATGCACTGTAAAAGCAACGTCTGCCTATACCTCCCTATCCCTAAGTTCTGCTTTTGCAAAATTCTGCTTACTTCCCCGCCCTGCCTAAACAGCAATCTAAACACAAAAACACTTTAGAATAGGGGACTCTGGAAAGTGACTTCCACGGAGCCCGCTAGTGAATAAACCTGCCTTTCCTTTCAATTCTGAGTGTCACTCTTTTCCTTGGTCCGCCTGCCCGTGGAGTGCGGAGTGCCATAACAGGAGCGTGGTGTCTTCGCCCCTGCTTTGATGTGCTCAGGATAGAGCCAGGAGTCCAGGCAAGGAGGCGAGCTTACCACTGAGGCGCAGCCAGGGGTGGCCAGGTTCTACATGGGGGCTCCAGACTTGCCGTCCTCACAACAAGAACATACTTAACCGTAAGAAAAGGACAATTAAAAGTAGTTCCTTAATAGGACGGACACACACACACACACACACACACACACACACACACACACACACACGGCTGGGAAAAATCTGGCCTAGAAGCTAATTTATATTCAAGGCGTCACTCAGCAGCTCAGAAGGGGCAGGGCCATGGAATCTGTCCAATCAGCACCGGCGGTAGATGAATTTTTGGCGGACACACTGCGCCTGCGCTGGGGACGTGGCCGTTCCTTCTGGCCGCAGGAGATTGGGTCTCCGCTGGTTATGACGCTGTGTTCTTTGTCGCGCTGTCACCCCAAGTGCTGAGGGTTCCTCGTGAAGACTGTTGGTGACGCCAGCAGCAGGAAGATGGCAGTGGTGAGTGTGGGGCTGGGAGACGCAGGAAGCCGAGCTGTGGGCACCACCCAGCTGCTTGACCGACTCAGCCTCCGTGTGCGCTCCGAGTCGGCGGTCAGGGTCCCTCTCAGTCCCGGTCCCCGG